TAACTTTATATAATCTGACTTGGAAAGATGGCATTATATTTTTGAATGAAAAAGGCAAAAAAAAAAAGAAATATATCTAGTTGGAAGGTGCACATAAAAACAACCTCCCCAGGCCGGCTGGTGTGGCTTAGTGGTTGAGTGTTGACCCATGCACCAAGAGGTCGCCAGTTCGATTCCCGGTCAGGGCACATGCCCAGGTTGTGGGCCAGGTCCCCAGTGGGGGGCATCCAGGAAGCGGCCAGTCAATGTTCTCTCTCATCAATGTTTCTTTCTCTCTCTCCCTCTCCCTTCCTCTCTCTCTAAAATCAAAGAGAAACAAACAAACAAACCAAACAACCTCCCCAATTAATTCTGTATAATTTTTCTTGGCATAATTATTCACTGGCAAAAGAAAAGTGTCCGATAACACACATGCCAACCAGATCACAGCTGTGTGGAAAAGGGGGCAGGACTGGGGTGATGACCTAAGTGAACTTTTTAAACACAGAACCTATGTATACATTTCCTTTGCAATTAAAGATGTTCGGTGAAAAGCCCAGAGTTTAATGGCAACACTGTGGCGGCCATAACATTAAATACTGAACCTGTGTTTAGATGCCAATGAATCAACACAGCCAAGTGACATCTGCGTGAGGGGCTGGAGTGACATTAAAAAGGGCAGAAAGTTGTTTCTCAGTTTCATCCACATTTTACCTCTTGCCAACTCTTTAAGTGGCTACAGACTGAATGAAAATTCAATGGTATGAGAACTTTATTGAAAATAATTGCAGCCCTGGCTGGTTTGGCTCAGCGGTTAGAGCGTCGGCCTGCGGTCCGGAGAGACCCGGGTTCGGTTCCCGCTAAGGGCACGTACTTCGGTTGCAGTTTGTCCCCGGCCCTGGTTGGTCGTGCGGGTGGCAGCCACTCGATGTGTTCCTTCACATCGATGTTTCCCTCTCTCTCCCTCCCTCTCTCTCCCTCCCACTCTATCTGTACAAAAAAAATGGAAAAATATCCTCGGGTGAGGATAAAAAAAAAAAAAAAGAAAATAATTGCAGACCCCCATCCCAACAAAGGGTCTTCTTGTTCCTAACCAGTGAGGTTACTATTGTCACGCACCCCCTGTCCCCATGCACACTTCAGCCCACTGGGCCTTCTGTGGGCAGTCCCTCCCCAACCTGTGAGCACCTTACTTTTTAGAGCAGGGCACTGATGCATTGATGCATTGATCACACCTTCCGATGACTGGTATTCATCACACGCTCTCTTTACACAAGCTTGCTCACTGATGCTGGTGCATTTTTGCACAATGTATGGAATCGATGAAACCAGTAGCTATGGCAACTTAAACATCCTTTAGGGTCAGATGCTGTCATGTACAAGCCACTGACATAAACCAACCTCTGAGAGGGAAGACCGAGCCCTAGGAAGCAATGCTTGTGACCTTGTGATTAATAGACATAATAGCATTGACAGACACTTGTATACCTGGACAATAATCACTAGATCATATTTTTTTATCCTCACCTTAGGACATTTTTCCATTTTTTGTTCAGATAGAGTGGGAGGGAGAGAGAGGAAGAGATAGAGAGAGAAACATCGACGTGAAAGGGACACATCGAGTGGCTGTCACGCGCACAACCAGGGCCAGGGACAAACTGCAACCGAGGTACGCGCCCCTAGCGGGAACCGAACCCGGGTATCTCTGGACCGCAAGCCGACACACTAACCGCTGAGCAAAACCGGCCAGGGCTGGATCACATTTTTTAATTTAATTTTTTAATTTATTGAAAATAGATGAAAAAGTTCATTGACTAGAATACTATAATTTAAACATCTCTGATATTTTATTTTATATAAGTCAGGATTTATTTGGATTTCAAATATTGAGGTTGCCTAAAGACTGGCGAAACCTATTTAGAGGTACCTTTAAATATGTTTGTTTGGCCTGGCCAGTATGGCTCAGTGGTTGAGCATTAACCCATGCACCAAAAGGTCACCGGTTCGATTCCTGGTCAGGGCACATGCCCAGGTTTTGGGCCTGATCCCCAGTGGGGGCATGCAGGAGGTGGCCAATTGATGTTCTCTCTCATCAATGTTTTTCTCTCTCTCTCAAATGAATTTAAAAAAAAAATTTTTTAAAAAGGTTTGTTTGTGCCCTGGCCAGTTTGGCTTTGAGGTTAGCGTATCTACAGACCAAGGAGCCATGGGTTCAATTCTGGTCAAAGGCACGTACCTTGGTACTTTGGTGGCGGTTCGGTCCCTGGCCTTGGTCGGGTCATGCGGGAGGAAACCAGTTGATATGTCTCTCTCACATAGATGCTTCTCTTTCTCCCCCTCTCTCTTCCGCCGTCCCTCCCTCCCACTCTATCTAAAGATAAATGGAAAAATATCCTCGGTAAGGATAAAACAATGTGTGTGTGTGGATGTACATGTATCTACCTGCTTGTATTCATTCTGCCTGTTCAGTGATTTGCGTAGCATCTTAGAACCCTCTCTACTTTGGTCTCTTCTCCTCCACAGCAAAGAGAGAGTAATATCACTTCCCTGACTGACTGAGGCAGCGAAAAAAAAAAAAAATCAATTTTGAAATTAGTTTCAGGGCTTTCTGATGTCCTTTACAAGGTCTGAGCATGCTGGTACATGTGACTAATAAAAACCTAAGTTATATTGCCCTGGCCAATTTGGCTCAGCGGTTAGAGCGTCGGCCTGCGGTCCCAAGAGACCCGGGTTTGGTTCCCGCTAAGGGCACGTACTTCGGTTGCAGTTTGTCCCCGGCCCTGGTTGGTCGTGCGGGTGGCAGCCACTCGATGTGTCCCTTCACGTCGATGCTTCTCTCTCTCTCTCCCTTCCTCTCTCTCCCTCCCACTCTATCTGTACAAAAAAAAAAAAGGAAAAATATCCTCGGGTGAGGATAAAACAAAACAAAACAAAACAAAAAAACCTAAGTTATTAAAGTTTAAGTTGTTTCATTCTAACTTCCTGATAACATTGTTTATCGATTCCATCAGCCCTCTTCCATTTTTCCCCACCGTGTTGAGTGCTGAAGACACCACTGACCCATTGCTGTAAAAAGTTATCTGTGTTTTCCTTAGATTTTGTGTTCCGGACCAAACAAATCAACAACTTAGCCCTTCACTCCAAGGTTCAAGAAATCCATAACTCAGAGAAGATTGTATTTGAAGTACTTTGTGTGTTTTCCCTTCCTGTTGAAGAATAGTATGTTATTATTTTGACGATCTCTTTTTTATTAAAAATAACAACTTAAACATTTTCCACTGGAGGTAAGTGTGTCGGTGGAAACCTGGAGGTCCGCACCCCTGTCCTGCATGAGAGTGAGAAGGGGTGTCATCAGGTGGACACCCACACCTCCCCTCCTCCCAGCCTGCTACCCCTTTTAACTTTGTAATATCGAACTGTTAAACATACACAAATGAGAGAAAATAGTATAGTAAATCTCCATGCTCCCATTAACATCTTCGAATATTACCAATATCTTTTCCCTTTTTTTTAACATTTCATAGAAAATCTCATACATTATGCACCTTTAAAAGATAAAGTTTCTTTCTTTCTTTTTTTGCCTAACCAAAAGACGATGATCATACCTAAATATATAACTATATGTTGATAATACAATATCATGAATATAATATAAACATTTGGATTTAGATGTAACCTAGTATCCCCTGAGATGGTTAATTTCATTTGTCAACTTGAACAGGCCACAAGGTGCCCGGACATGTGGTCAGACGCTGTCCTGGTGTTTCTGTGAGGGTGGTTTGAGGGAGATGGAGTGCGGACCTGGAGCCTGCGTGGAGCGGACCACCCTCCACAGCCTGGGTGGGCGCCCGCCGGCCTGCGAAGGTCTGAACAGAACAGAGAGCGTGTCCCCCCCCCCCCCCCCCCCCGAGTGAGAGAGGACTCTTCCTTTCTGAGGGCCTTCACCTGAACACTGGCTTCCCGCTGCCTCCAACTCAAGCAGGAGCATTGGCTCCTCCTGGCTTGGAGCCCGCTGGCCTTCGGTGGAAACTCAGCCGTCAGCCCTCCGGCTTCTCCCTTCAGAGGAGGCCCGGGGACAGGCCGTCGGTTCTCCGGTCTCTAGCTTCCCCTCACCCTGCAGGCCTCGGGGTTTGGACTGGCCCACCTCCATAGTGATGTGATCCAATTCCACATTAAAAGTAAATTGTCTGTCTATCTATCTATCTATCTATCTATCTATCAATCATCATCTATCTGTCTGTCTATCTATCTATCTATCTATCATCTATCATCATCCATCTATCTGTCTGTCTATCTATCTATCTATAAGATATAAAATCATACCTCTGGAAAACCCTAATACATCACCTAATCACCAATCCATATTCAGTTTTCCCCAAATGGCTAAAGAATGCCTCTTATAGATTGATTTAGAATTCAAATAAATCACATGCACTGTTTAAGGCTATAAGCATCAGTTACATTGTGGAAAAGTCATGGAATTTTTTCCCTTTTATGCCACTTCTTAAATAATGTTGGATAAACTCCACAACAAGAACATTAAAGCCAAAACTTTAGAATCTGATTCCAGATTTATAAAGACCAGAACGCATGCCTTCGATGAGTCCCGACGGGACACAGAAGACGAACCCCATTCTGACTGACGGGAATATCCTCTGAAGTCCGTGAGCTTCTGCTCTGACTCCAGCTTCCGTGTCTAAACAGGAATTGCTCACTTGGCTTTCCTCACAGGGATGCAGTGAGGGAAAAAGGCTGCCTTGATGAAAGAATTCTGAATTAAAGTATCAAACAAAATGAAGCCATTTATATATCCTCATCCTCATCTTTGACCCTGCTTTATTTCTTTCCTTACAACTGGGGTTTTAGCATCAGATGAAATCTGCAGTATTAACGCAAATCTGCACTGTATTATTAAAATGAACAAGAGCAGATACGTTGTGCAGAAGTGAATTCTGTCCGTTTAACACATGCTGGCACGCAGCCAAGGTTGACCTCTCAAGGTCACTGTTCCAGACACTCACCCAGTACTGTTGAGGTAACTCTGTCCCAAGCTGCAATCTTTGGACAGAGAAGACGGATTGAACCAAAATGCTGGCAGGCACTGACCGTTGCTGTGTCTCTCGTAACCATAGTCACTGTTTGGGAAAGAGCAGAGAGAAATCCTTCAGTAGGTGAAAAAAATCACTGACGACAATTTTATGTTAGTCCACAGCCAAATTCTACTCCAGTCAATTAGTCAAAAAAGAGGTATTCGCTGAATCAATGCATTTCCAAAAAAGGAATCTTTTTGCACGTGGACTATCAATTACCCATGAAAACATCCTACAGAGCCCATTTGCAGAAATGCTGACTTGGAGGCAAGAGGGCTGCCTGTGTAGAGATGAAGCTCAGGGCCCAAGAATTCCAAGTAACACGTGGAAGCTGAGAGCGTGGACCACGTGCCCATCAGAGGACACACGAGACTGGCTGCGGTTGGCCCAGAGAAAGCTAAACGGGTGAGCAGGCCACGGCGGGAGCTCAACCCTCATCGGAACGTTTCACTGCAGAGTTTAACACAGCAACGTGTGCGTGATCCTCGTTTGTGCTGATGTCTTTGGGGTGCTCTTCCGAGACATCGGGACCTACCAGGTAGAGCCGAGCCCGGTCTGTCTGTGCAGAAGCCACGTGCTTCGAAGTCACAGCAGGAAAGGAAATGTCCTTCAGGCGTGTCCTGAGCAGTCCCCCAGGGACGAGTTTTGTCCTAGTCATTAGCCCTGCCGGCTGGGACTAAGTCCCTTAAATCCGCTCTCTAGGTGGAAACAGTCAAAGCCTCTTCTCCCAGCCTCCTCCCAGCCCAGCCCCGGGGGCCTCCGAGCAGCCTGATATTCTGGGCTTCTGGAAAGTGAACCCACACAAGGATGACAACAAATTGTGCCTCCACAGGCACGAATCGCAGGCAGCGATCCGCCAGCACGCGTGTGGACTGGGCCATCTGTGAGGTGGAGGTGAGATGCTGGCACACGAGGGCCGGGTAAGGAGAAATGGGTTCAGCTAAGGGGCCTGTCATGGCAGCTGGCACTTGCCATTCTGCACACACCAGCTGGATTCGGTGCTGCCTCAACACAGCATGGCTAGGAAGGCTTCAGGACTGACGCCTACAGGGCGCCCAGTGTTCATTCCAGAGAGTTAATTTACCAGTGCTGGGGAACGACAGGCAAGGTCGTCTAGGGCATGGTCCAGGGGCCAGCCGAGGCAAAAGGGAACATTCGATGACAACCCCCTTTCCTTAGGCTGCAGTCAAGTGGAATCAGGGAAGCTCTAGCTACTGGAGGAGCCTCGGGAATGTCATGGTAAGCCTTCCAAAATCGTTTCAGAAACTGCAGCTGCAAAATTCCCTTTGGTCAGAGAACCATACGATGGCTTTATTCTCAATTCATTTCCCACTTCTCAGAATACATTTTAGTTAGTAGTAAGAGTAGCAGATTCCAATCTCAAATGAATACAAGAACTGGACCGAGATGGGGGCGGAGACGGGGGATGAGAGACGGGGGAGGGGAGCAACGCACTTGCTTTCCTTGCCTGTGTTCCTTTCACTCCAGCTTAACGTGGAAAAAGGAAAACAAAAATGGCCATGACAACAAAAGTCTAGCTCAGTCTGGAACCTCTCAGGAAAGGTTCCCAAAGGAAGAAGTGTTTCCCGGAGCAGTCAGGGAACTGGGACATCTCACCTCCCTTTCTCCCTATGAGCCGCCATATCCGCTCCCTGCACAAGAAGGATGGTTTGGTAAGACCGAAGCTAACTCCACAGATAAAACGTTAACTTCCTTTACAAATCCTCCTCGAATACAGTGGATGAAGGAGAAGCATTCTGGCTTTAGAAAGGGGGATATGATGAATGACTTAAAATTCCCAGGGGTATTTTTCCTGTAATTGTATTTCAGGGTGTCAACCCTGAAAGGTAGGCCAGGGACAAAGTATTTCTGTCATTGTAACAATGTTGCACTGACTAAAACACAAGTCATGGCTGGGGAGGCCCCTGCAGAATTCCTGTGAGCTCCAGTGTAAGAAGTAAGCCCTGTGCCCTCTGGCTGAGCCCAGAGATGGAGCACGGGCTCTCGGCTCGAGACTTACCTGTCTACCAACAAGAGAACAGCCCTGGGTTATCAGTCTGAGTGCTGGCAGCCAATTCCACCAGGCCTGCCCAGATCTGCTTATTCAGACATCTCCAGAAGGCTAACATGAGAGAAGACTTACTTTTTCTAAGATTTGTGATGTGTGTATACATAGTACCTCCCAGCCCGTTCAATGATATTTTGATGGTAAGAAATGTGACCAGTGGTTGCTACACAGCTCTAAACAAACTGTTAAAGGAATGACTTTGGTTCTCATACAGGTCCGCTTTCAATCATTCAATACTCACCCACCTATTTAGCAATCACCTTCTCTAAACTAAAAATATAGAAGGAAATAAAATGGAAAAATAAGAGGGGGGAAAAGGAGCAGAAAATGAACTGAATATGATCAAGGGAGTTCCCACCTCCCCATTCTCAATACTTTTTCAACATCACCTGAAGGCTAATCACTGACCTAGACCAAAGCAAGGGAATCACTGGCCCCACCAGCTGGCTTTCTGCTCTGAGTGTTCCAGGAGACTCACAATGTCACTCTGAGTTCGTGTAACATCTAACTGTGTCAGGACTTTCCCAGTTTAAACTAGCCTATTCCCAGTAAAGGAGACATCTCCTTTAGCTCTAGAATCGTGGAGCTGCAGGCTGGCAATGGCTTTGGATCCTTCCCTGCATCGAGTCTGGAAACGCCTTCCATGCTCACATAAAATAGTCAGCTAGCCCCTGACTGAAAGCCTCCAGGGACAGAAAACTCACTGCCTTATAAGTAAGCCGTTCCACCCTCGGGATCCCTAGATTCCAGAAAGTTTAGTCTCGAGCACACAACTATGGTTGATCTCTGGAGACCACTTCTTGTTTTCATTGTCACCATGTGAAGCAACTCCGGGGGATCAGAGCTCCTTCCTTTATGCCCTGAGACCTAGCACCCAGATGAAGATAATTACCATACATCCTCTTTAACTCTACAGAAATGCCTGGTTTTCCCATATGCACAGGTACAAGCACACCAAAGTTAATTTCATAAGAATAGGAGGCTTGTCACCTCTTTTATGACTATCACTGCCATTGCAAAGCTGAGCTTCCAGAGAGGCCCGTGACTCTGACAGCAAGGTGTCCCTGGGATAACGGCACAAGCTCACCAGTCAAAATCAGCCTCTGTGCAGACACAGGGTTCCGACTCCATCGCTCCTGCATATTTTCCCTGCATGCATTTCCGCTCCGATTTCCGCTTCTTATATATCCTTTTCGCTCCCATGATGCATGCTTCCCCCTGCAAGGAGACAAGGAGCTCAGGTCCACACCTGGAAGTTCAGGGAGATGCTCTCAAACCTCAGTGCGATCTGGACTTGGGCGGGCTGCTGGGTGCTAACGGCCTTTTCTTGTCCGTGTCTGCAACTCTAGTGTGGAATGTGACCGATAAAGGCAAAGTGAAGAAGCGTGGAGAGGGTGTGTAAATACGTCCTTCACTCCTCATGCACCCAGCAAAGTGTCCCCTGGCAAGGTGCTTGGCACAGTGCTGTGAGGGGCACACAGATCATGGAGACTCAGCCCCATAAGAAGCGTACTGCCAACAAAGCCGTGACAATTAGGTTCAATTCTCCTAAAGAACAGATGTGTACACTTGCTCACTTATGAGTATATGAAAAAAGAACGTTGCTAAGAAATATAAATATCCATTTTCCTCTATGATACTTCTGCCCACGCAACTTTATACACTGGTTTTATATCCCTCTATCAGACAAGCAAGAGAACTAAATTCAGGTTTCTCTACGAAATAAATAAAAGCTTTGAACATCACAAAGCTTCTGCCTCCCAAAGGGGAAAATGTCAGCCGTGTAAACGAGCAGTGGTTTCATCACTGAGTCTGGATGGAGTGGGTGTTTGAGCCGGTGCAGCGGCACCATCAAACCCGGCGCTCTCTGCGCAACCGAGGACCAGAGCGCGGTTGTATCTCAGCTGCTACGTGTCTTCTTAAGCAAACTTACTTCATTTATTTACTTTTCTTTATTGATTTTAGAGAGAGAGGAAGAGAAGAGGAGAGAGAGAGAGAGAGAGAGAGAGAGAGAGAGAGAGAGACTGATGAGAGAGAACATCGATTGGCTGCCTCCTGCATGCCCCCCACTGGGATCGGGCCCACAACCTGGGCATGTGCCCTGACCGGGAATCGAACTGGTGACCTCTTGGTGCATGGTTCGATGCTCGACCACTGAGCCACACCGGCCGGGCAAGCAAACTCACTCTAACTGGCTCCATTCCACATCTGTGTGTAGGCATATCACTTAGTCTAGGTTTGGGGTAAATGCTGGGTTATTGTCTCAGCAGGACCCTCCACCAGCATTCGAGACCTGCAGGATGACGTCTCGCTCTCGAAGCATCTGATAAGAGCTGAACAGCTGAGGGGCCAGGACAAAGGACAGTTTCCTGTTAACAATGCTGCATTCTTGTGCCACGGCCACCTCAGCAGAGCGAGAAGCAGTGTCTCACCCCAGGGAGTCACCCGAGGAGGGAGAAAGGACGTTCTCTGCGCTGCTCACAGAGCATAATTCTGTTGCTTTATGTCTGTTTGCACCGGTAGGTAACATTCAAGATCCTGTGCTCACCCCTGTCTTCACCCTGCATCCATATGACACGCTCAGATAAATCCTGTTTAGAGTCCCCGTGCTGAGTCGGTATTTCATTTTGAGTTGTAAGTCTAAGCCAAGCACATTTGAATTTTATCTCATTATATCCTAGTACAATAAACACAGAAATTACTTCACAACAACCTATACAATGTAGAGTTTGTTCACTGCTATGGAACACAAAACACGAGGTGAACATTTTGGCTTAGAGGACCCCACTTCCCACACTTGAATGACTAGCTCGCCCCGTACACGGTGCTCAGCACCCCACTCAGCTGCCTCCCTCCTACCTGGCTGTGCAGTTGCCAAGGTCTGTAGTCCTCCTCGGCACAGCGTCTGTCGAAGATGGACTTGTAGTCCACTTTGACCAGCTGCCACTCCGAGCGGTGGCTGAAGTGTCCAAACACTCTACAGAGTTCACAATGACAAAAACAGCCGCAGTCATAACAACGCCAACAGTTACAACAACAGCTAGCATTTGCTGAGTGCCTACTATAAGCTTAGCGGGATGCTAAGCACACTCCACTGATCATATCATTTAACCTCAAAACACATTTATGGGCAAAATACAGTAAATTGTTAGCTGGCATAAAAACAATGTCAAACCACGGAAGAACTGGTCGAGCCAGAACGCAGGGTGTTTGACTGAAAAGACCATTTCTATATATTGTACCACAGAACGGTTAACAAAAGTAATCAATCAATCAATCGATAATGGAGAAAACAATCACAAATGCTGCATTCTGCATGGTCCAAGATTACACTTCTGGGTTCTCTGGCTAATGTACATGGTTTCCATGACTTCCATGCTATTTACCTACCCCGCCAGTCACCAGGGAAGGTGGGCAGCTGTATAATTGCTTCCTACACCGTGTATTCTACTCTCCTTACTGGGAGAGACTCAGATATTTAATGAGGTGTTTGAATCCCAAATCATAGACAAGGATAAAAGCCACAAAGGAGCCTTCTCAGGCAGCTTTTTAAATCTGTGTTTCACGCATATGAAAATTAAATGAAAACAAATTGAGGAATAAATTGCTAATCTAGCTATGTTAACCATGGCCAAAAGTGTAGTTATTAGGCATATTAAACATTTGTTGATTTTTTTTTTCTCTCATTTCAAAAAAAAAAAAATGGAGGAGGGAAGAAAATTTTAGAAAATGTACCAACTATTCACTTTGATTTGTACATTTCCATGGACCACAAGATCGACTATTTTACAACCTTCCCTGTTTCCTGTGTCCAATTTTCTAGGGGAGGGCACAAGCATGGCTTCATACTCCAAAGGCAAACCCCCCAGGCAGGCCAGTCATTAATCAAGTCTTTCACAAATTAATGATCACCTCTCTCCAGACAAGAGTGAGCGCAAATGCAGATTCACGAGAACAGATTGTTCTCGGGGTTCCCCAATACCCCTCACAATCGGTCAGGTAGCGAGCCAAGGAACAATAAAGGCCTGTGTGGGGCTTTTGGCTCATGCTCAGCATTGCGCCTCACAGTGAGGCCGTTCCTGACAGGCCTGCGATCTCCCCATACATTGAGCTTGTTTACTATTAAAATGTTACACGCATAGCCTTCCTGTCTATGGAAAGAATCTCTTCTAACTTCCCTCAGCCCACTCGGTAGGGGAAGAAATAAGCTAGTTTGCCACCTGCCTTCCGTGTGGGTCTCCTCATAACGAGTCAAAAGCCAAGAAACTGGCTCCGTATTTCATCCTCTGTGCTGGGGAGTCGCGAAATCAGATGTGCTGACTTGGCTGGAAACCCCAGACCTAACAGCAGCAACGGGAATGACCACACGTCCCCGGGGCACTGTTAACTAGAAAACGTCATCGTGTTCCACTTACGTCATGATTAGGGTCTCTTCCCCGGGCTCACCCAGAACCCCATCCACAAAAAGGGGAATAGATGTGAAACTGTATTTGCTCCAAGATCTCCCTTCATCAAAACTCAACCTAATGACAGACAGAGAGAGAGAAAACAGTCCTCAGATCGCAAAAGGAAAAAAGAAAATCCTTTCAAAGGACTGATACTATCAACCAGGAGAGGACACATTTTAAAAGTGCCTAAGGCGTTGTCAAAGTGACCCTTGAATACATGTTCTTAATTACATCAGGAGGCAGAAACAGTTAGCCAGCAATTTGGGACCCAGGTGTGTTATAACATTAACAGGGGAGAGCTGCAGGAAACAGAATAATAATGAGTCTTTGATAGGATTTGTTTTTAAATTTGGATATTTGATTAGATCTTAGATCTCAGTGTGACTCTCTCCAAAACCTCAGTGCACTGAGTAGCAAGCCTTACAGGTGATTCTGAAGAATGATGACCTTGGGGGTCCTATTCACATGGACTTGAACCAGGCACCTCCAAGTGATCCCCTTAGCAGAGTCCCCCCTCCACTGTTAGGAATCCTGGTTGACTTGCTGAGTGAGTGAGTGGGTACAGAGGGACAGGCTCTCGAGAGCAAGAGGAGAGAAGTCTGCCATTCTCGGGGTCACCCAGGATCCTTCCTTTGCTCTGTCCTTCTCTGTGGAAGCTTCCACCAGGCTGAGCCTCTGTTGCTCTATTTCCCCCAGCTTTCCCTTCGGTCACCAAAGTAACTAACGGGTGAGGGAAAATCAGGCTTTTGACTTTGAACAACCTTGCATGTGGAGAGAGTCACTTTCAAAAACACACATGAAGGAGTCTATTGGAAAGCCCCCTGGAAGTCAGGACTTGCATGGCCCTCTGTGGGAGACCTACGGGTGGCACGACAGAATGTCGCTCCCAAACGGGAAACTAAGGAAGCACCATCAGCAACAGAAGAGTCGCGATCTATGTGCAGAACACACATAATGGATGCAAACGTACCCCAGGAGATGTTCTTTGGGAACGGTGACTGTAAGAAGTTCGGCCAGTCAGAGGTTACACCTGACACAGCCTTCTACCCACGACTGTGCTGAAAGAATAAGACACTGGACAGGGTACTGTCACATTTAACCACTAGGATGCGCTTCCTCTCCGGGGGCAGAATTCACCCTTCCTCCCTCCCTATCGCCTCTCCTCCTCCTAGGAGCAACGATCGTGTTTTAATAGAGCAAAGGCAAACGTTTGTACAAACTTGTAGATCTTGATGTTTTACAGCAAATGTGCTCATGCTGTCAGAGCCTGACTCCCACCCTCGGCAGTGAGGAGCCATGGTCGTGGGCAACGGTGCCTTACCAGAGATGTCGAATGGGGAGAGACGTGTGCTTCATAGCAACCAGGACCCCGCCCTGGTCCAGATACAGAACACTGTGCTCTTCTTCAAAGATCTGCAAGAGGAGACCACATCCAGATGGACGCTCAGCCACATCCACACACCCCGCGTTCACGGAATTCGTCCATATGGGGAGAAAAAGCCCGTCTGACCCAGTAACAGCTCCCCAAATCTCTGGGAAGACGTAGTTATGAGCAATGCTTCCCAGGGCGGGCTACATATGCCCCTGTTGTTGCACACAATTATTTCAGGGGCACCACAAAACACATGTGAAGAATCAACAGTTATGCATTCATGTTTATATTCTTACCGTTTTGTGGTGCATTCTATCGATTCTCACTTTCGATGATGTCAGGATTTTGGATAGTTGTCACATTGAGTAACATTTTAAGATGGAAGAAGCCTCAGAGATACTTTACTCTCACCTTCTCATGCTTACAGATGAGGCCACTGCATTTAGAGGGAGCTGGAGACCACATGTGGCCTAAGACCACATGTAGTGCCTCCTGGAGCTGGGTTACAGTGACCTCCGTATCGAGTTATTTTAAAATTTCCAAGTATTCTACAGAAGAGGTGTTTCTGTTCAATTCAAGGATTCTCTACCAAGTCATGAAGTGGCTCTGATGAAAATGGGATCATCATTTTTGGGTACATGCGTCACTGGATCTTTCTCCAAAGGCGGAGAGGCCAGTGTGACGTCAAATGGGGACAGGATGCAAACTGCTGAGCCCTCTCTACGCGAGAGGCACCCTGTCTTCTCGGTCACACCGCCAGCCCAGCCTTGTCTGTGGTTACGCCACAGACACAATCTTTGTTCCCCTTGGTTTTGGGCTTTTTAAATTTTCTTATTGAGGTGACATTGGTTATTAATATTTTATAGGTTTCAGGTGTACAATTCTATTCTACGTCACTTGTACATTGTATTGTGTGTTCACCACCCCAAATCAAGTCTCCTTTATTTATTTCTTCTACTCATATGAAGATATGTCCTATCGCAGGACGACAGAAGTAGAGACTTATGTTGCATCATTGGGGGTGTTGGAAGGAATAAAAATGGGACCCTGGATCTCCACCTGTTCTCCAGAGGAGGCTTGGTTGTCCTTGTTCCTATGTAGCTGCAAGACCAACAGTCCTGAGCACTTTTCCTTCTTGTCATGCCCTTCTCAAAACATGGGAATCCCACCGAGGACGGAGGGGTCTGCAATTAGGGAATAGCAATCGGACCACAGCATGCAGATCTCTGTCTTAAATATAAAGCAGAGTGTTCTCATCGCTCTGTGATTACCTGTGCATTAAATTCCAATTTACTGTGCTAGTTATTGTATGATAATTAAATGTCAGTGGGTTATTAAAACATATTTATTGAAGGGTAACAGCCATGCATTAGGCACATATCTTGTTATGATTGCTAAACCTCATTAAATGCCTGTTTTAGAAGCTATGGGTATCTAATTTTCATTCAGAAGAGAGAGAGGAAGCATTTAAGCTAAACGCACTGCTTTCAAGTGATTCCGTTTCTCCTTTCCCTAGCATATGCACTGTGATGGTTATTACTCTGTGTTTTGCACATGAGATTTAAACATCTCAGAACACCACCTGGGTAATTGCTATTTCTATATGACTGCGTTGCTATCTGTTCTGACTTCAAGGCAAGGGAATTTGTGGAGCTAAGTCGGCACTGGGTATATACTCTACCCCTCCAGGCGCCATGCTCCCTATAGGATCCACTCTTTGGTATTCTGGTTTTCTTCTACGGGAAAAAAAATCAGTAAGATCTAATTTGGTTTCATTGTCACTTATAAACTTTCTTCCATATAGTTTCTGAATAGGGTTCATTTTTATTGAATGGCAAAAAAAAAAAAAAAAAAATCAATCAAATTGCAAGAAGATTCGCTAACCTCAAAGACTTAAGACTAAATAAATGCACGGGCAAACTTTAGGATTCATAGGTAGTTGAATCAGTTCTTATGTGTAGCAGAGTAAGTTCCCAGAATTGAACCAAGTGGGGCAATTTTAATGTCATTTAAGCCTCAGCAACTCGACCCAGAATGCTTTCTTACCTGCCTCCACGTGTTCCCTGCGTCTGAAGAGACAAACATGCTGATGTCGCTGTCTGACAATTCGGAACCTATGTTGCCTAGAAAGAGCACAGCATCATTAGTGAAGGAACTCTCCGCACAGGTAACCATGAGCGACTTGGCCAGCCCGCATCTCCTGAGATGGACTGGGATGGCCACACATCTGCGCAGCATTTTTCAGCATGCTGGCTTCGGGGTCACTGGTTTGGGAGCCATTTAAAAATCGCTTTAGCTTGCTCATTGGGTTCCAAGCAGAGATAGCTAGCGTCTTAAAATACACACAATTCACAACAGTCAGCGAACCAGGAAAGCTTCTTACCTGAAGCCACTATGATGCTGGGTGCTGTGTCTCGGCTGGCAATGATCCCCGAGGTGTAGGGATTCTCAGAGACCTTAAGGTGAAGGTGTAGTGAGCAATAAGGCTGAGAAGAGGAAAAATGAGTGTCACGATAGCAAACGATCTACAGAGTCACGTCAGTGTTATGTTCGGAGCATCCATCCGGTCATGCATCCATCCATGTACCCTTCCATCCTCCCATCTCTCGTTCCCAAACACCTGCGGTGCACAGAGCATAGGACCACTGCCAAGCTGGTGGAGGAAGGCATCTTCAGTTTGTTTACTTGACTGCCTTAGCTGCCATTTGGGCATTCACCAAACACCTGAGTACTTTATCTGTTAAAGGCTAGGTGTAGCTTATAAAGAAGTAACATTGACTCAGATTTGGTCTTGACTGTCATGGCGTGTAAAATGTGCGATCTTTTCCATTGATTCGCACAAAGAGTAAACAGTGTAACAGCCGTAAGTTCAGCACAGATGAAACATGAGATGCTACAGGGTGAGAAGATGACGGTCCCCTCTGGATCAGGGAAGGTGTCGAGGAGAAAACGGTGCCGTAGGCAAAGATGGGTGAGGTTATGAACAGCAGATGAGATGTTCGGGAGGAAAAGAGACATTTCAGGCCTAACACGGATAACAAAGAAAAAAAAGCAAAAGACTTGAGTTGTAATACAGTATGTAGTCTGTAAGACAGAGGAGGAGAAATGAGATAGGACATGAGGAGAGGTTTGATGAGGCGGGGACAGCTTTGAAGTCAGCGGTCATCTCTTAGCCACTCCCCATGTGCGACCTTGGGCTCAGGTGCACAGAAGAAGCTGTATGACATGTGAAAACTGTCCAAATATCCACCATACAGGTGTCAGGGTGTTTATTATCAGAATCAGTGCTATTCAATAGCAAAGTCATACTTGTAGGCAACATGTACTAGTAATAGCAATTTCAATGAAAATTTAAGGGACTTGTTTATTTGTATGTGAAAATCTCGATCAAATCTTCTGATGAATATATCAGTGGGTTTCAAAAACACAATAATAAATCTTATACGCTCTTCATTTAAAACAGTTCTTGTACTGAGTTGTCAGAAACCACAAATTTGTGTCTGAACCTACATTTCTTTTCATCGCTCAGGAAGATTACTTTCTAATCTTCTCAACTTGAGTTTTGGAATCACCCATGTATCTCTGTTATTACTTTTATTCTGCTCTGTAAATCTCAACCAGCAGAGATTCGAAGCGCTGGAGATGCAGTGATTAAATTTATATGAGATAGAGTAAAATGACAAGCTAAAAATGAAACCCAAGAATAAAGCAGCCGAAATACTGGTGAAATAAAACAGTGGATCACCACAGGGTCTTGTTCTCACTGTCCACAGACAGTAAACGCTCAAGGAACAATGATAGTAATACATGATTGGTTCGCACCAAAGGAATTTTTACTTCATAATGTACCGAAAGAGTAAAGAAGACCATCCTCAATGAGAAGACATGGTCAGACCACACACTCGGTTCCTCTCATCCCAGGGGAATGTTAGAATGGTACTGTCATGAGGCGGAGGTCCAGGGACCATTGCACAGTTAGCAGGTTCTAAGACAGGGTTCAGTAGAGGTGTCCGACCGCTTGTCCAGGAAACTTTTGCTGATGACCGCAGCCTATCAGAAACTACCCTTCTCTGACCTACAACAGTCTATTTACCACACACAGTCCTGTGCTACCTATGTGAGGTACATACGGTTTTATCCCCAAAAGAGATAAACTCTGCAAATACAGAGTAAACATCAAGTACTATGTTGCATCATCTGTGAAACCTAGCCTAGGGAAAAAAAAGACAGTCAAGCCCTGGTCGGTTTGGCTCAGCAGTTAGAGTGTCAGCCCACGGACCAGAGAGGCCCAGGTTCGGTTCCTGCTAAGGGCACATACCTCGGTTGCAGTTTGTTCCCGACCCCTGTGGGGTCGTGTGGGTGGCAACCACTTGATGTGTCTCTCTCATGTAGATGTTTTTCTCTGTCTCTTCCTTCTCTTCCTCCCTCTCTCCCTCCCACTCTATCTGAGATAAATGTAAAAATGTCCTCAGGTGAGAATAAAAAAAAAGAGAAGAAGACAGGCAAGCCCGGGCGGTGTGGCTCGTGGTTGTGTCGACCCTGCACCAAGAGGTCGCCGATTCCATTGCCAGTCAGGACACATGCCCAGGTTGTGGGCCCGATCCCCAGTGGGGGGCATGCAGGAGGCGGCCAATCAATGTTCTCTCTCATTGATGTTTCTATCTCTCTCTTCCTCTCCCTTCCTCTCTCTCTAAAATCAATAAAGAAAAAATATTTTTTTAAAAAGACAGTCGATAAAAGTTTAAAGTAACAAGCAATGCTTTCATGTTAGGAAATGAAAGACATTACTATTGTACTCAGAACAATGTCAGAAGTACACGGGCCTGTCTGTAAACCAGAGAACCAGAGTAATGTGAGTATCTCCATGGCATGAGGGGTACACCACTTCCTGGAACGGTGTGTAGGTTTATGGGTTGAATGGAGCATCTCTGTACCACCCCGCAGGACAGGACATCCCTGACAATGGGGCACCCTGCACGCAATCGTCAGCACCCTTTTGTCACAAATTTCATCAGTTAACAGTCCAGAAGATTGTGAAGATCAGCTGCCACCCGCCCCAAGGCTTGTTTGCTATGGGGACTTGCTATGAAAAGAGCATTTTCAATTGACCATCTGAGCCCTGCTGGTGGCTATGGCTTTCAGAGCCCAGGATGAGTTAATTTAAGAAGACACCAGTTCCTGCAGCAGCAGCAGCTGAGAAATTATCTTCCTGGTGCACTTTTTCCTCCGTGCTCATATTCGTAGTACTGGATTGCCCCCAGCTGGTGCAAGGAGAGTATTCTGTGGCTTTCTATTTTTTTCCTTTTTCCAATTTTTTTTTTGCAAGGAAGTTACATAGTCTCCATCAATGTTCAATGCAAAACAATGTGAAGTGATGCATCTTCACTTCTTTAACTTCGACTTTTGTACCTGACCAGTTTGGGGCATTCATCAAAGTGAAGTCACTAAAACTTTATTAGCGAGGTTGATCGTAATGGCTACGGAGGCCCTGCAGACCCTGAAGGACCGCACACAAGTTCCCCAACTCTCTGTGCTTGTTGTGCCGGCAGGGGGCACGCTGTCCACTTCTGTCTCCTTTCCTTCCTGCCTTCCTGCCTCCTTGTCTCCCAGGAGCAAACACGTGTTGAGTGTGAGAGTCTCTTTCCTGAGTTGTCTCCAATCCGGTGGAGAAAAAACACAGCTCGTCCCAAAGGCACTGTTCTACTTTTCCAAGTTAGGAGGATATCACACTTACCCTGAAACCACCATGACCCAGCACCTGACTGACAGGGGCTGGAGGGCCCAGCACTCGTGTTCAGCGGCGTCCCTTGGAAGTGTCCCCACATAGTCACAGGGCAACATCATCAGTCAGTCAGTTCTAGGAGCAACTCGATCCTCAGTCTATCATCTTCTCAGGGGGAGGAACAGAGTCTGAGAGCCCGAAGCAAATCAGGGACTCTCCCAGGAAAACACGCACCCGGGCAGGGCACACAGAGGACGCACTGGACTTCCGGGAGTACACAAACTCCTAGAGTCCCTGGGGCACTTCTCGGTCCTGATGACCTTTCTTTTGTCTAATTCTTTTATTTCTTACAGAAGCCTTTGGCCATGGCAGGCACTCAGTGACTATCTGTTGGGTTTACCTGGTCAGTAACAAGCCATGTCTCCTAGCATGTGGATGGCCAGTGGAGAATTACTAAATGATAGAATAGATTTACCCAGCAAGAAATAAAGCAACTCAAAAAACGGTCAGATGACTTGAGGGTCAACCACCTTCTCATCCCACTTCCTCTATCCCCCAACCTCTGCAGTAATAGCCTTCAGCTCTCATCCTCAGGGGACCACTATCCCTAGGGATCCTCGTCTGAGAATTGTCCTGAAAAGCTCGATCAGAGGTTTCATAAATAATGGGGTAGCAGGTAACTTCACAGGTAATAGCCCCCAATCGCACCCCCATACACTAATTGTTTCTGACGCTGAGCTGGAGCGAGGACTCCATTAGATCTTGAGTCAGGGGCCAACGGTGAAGAAAGGGAGGCCCTGGACCACATGCTGGGTCTGGGGCATCTGCCCCCCCCCCCAATCCACACAGCACGTGCAGGAAGGTGAGAAGGCGTGGAGAGCAGAGTCAAGAATCTCCAGGGGTAGCTGGGTGCGCAGCTCCAACAGAAACGGCCGCCTGAATCCGTAAAGAAATCACGGCCTCTCCCCGTGACACACTGCACTCCCCTGGGGGCCCAAGGAGTTGTCCCGGGCTCAGTCACCTCTCGCGTCTTGGGAGTCCAAGCCTGAGGCTCTGGAGGCAGGTGGACCAGGACCTGTAATACCCCATCTAACTGCACAATGCCGCCTTCAGAGGGAAGAAATCCCGGGGGAGCCCTCCAGGCCAGCGGTCTGAAAGTCCTGAATTACAGCCCCAAATTACCCTGGATGTCTTATTTCTATAGAATACCTTTGACCAGGAACATTCCTTTTGGGGCTATAATTCTGAACTTGTTCCACATTTCCAACAGCCCTGCTGGACAATCTCTTGTCTAATCACTAGGCTGTGCTCTTGGTGACATTGTCACTTTCCAAGTGCCCACAATTTAAAACCACTTTTAATCTCCTCTTTGCCACCCGCTCCCAAGCTGAGAGAAGACTAACAGTCTGGGTCTCCCGTGGCTCACAGAGTTCCTGTCCTATTCCTGCCTCGGACACATTTTTATAAAGTGGTTTTGGTCTCTCCTCCCCACCCCCTTGGTCATTTCCCCTCTTCGTCCTGCTGCCTGATTTCTAGAAGGAGACCGCAACCACCTCAAGCAACAAGGTTAATGAGGGGGGAGGCCAAAGACCCCTGGGCACTGCACGTCATATGCTATTAATTTATCTTCACTCCCGCTTAATGAGCCTACTGGTCTTGTCAACTTTGGGGTCCAGGTGGGCCCAGGAGCCTCAGAAGGTCATTATGACACACCCTTCGGAGTGACAGTCAGTGGCAAGAAAAGGCTTCCACTAAAGTCCAAATGGAAAACCCAGATAACACCTTCAGCGGAGCATCTGCTTCAAACAGCACCGGCACCCACACTCCTGTATGGGGCACCCACACCCACACCCCTGTATCGGGCACCCGTACCCACACTCCTGTATTGGACTCCCGCACCCACACCCCTGTATCGGGCACCCACACTCCTGTATCGGGCACCCACACTCCCATATCGGGCACCCACACTCCAGTATCAGGCACCCGCACTCCTGTATCGAGCACCTGCACCCACACTCCCATATCGGGCACCTGCACCCACACTCCTGTATCGAGCACCTGCACCCACACTCCAGTATCGGGCACCCACACTCCTGTATCAGGCACCTGCACCCACACTCCTATATCGGGCACCTGCACCCACACTCCCATATCGGGCACCCACACTCCCGTATCGGGCACCCACACTCCCGTATCGGGCACCCACACTCCTGTATCGGGCACCTGCACCCACACTCCTGTATCAGGCACCTGCACCCACACTCCCATATCGGGCACCCACACTCCCGTATCGGGTACCCACACTCCCGTATCGGGCACCCACACTCCCGTATCGGGCACCCACACTCCCGTATCAGGCACCCACACTCCTGTATCGAGCACCCGCCCTGTGGCAGGTACGATTCCTGAGCTGGTTCTTTAGTGGCTAAAAAAATAGCCCCAGCTCCTCTGCTTATGAAGCTCACGTTAGCAGGGAACATGGAAACATACGTGTGCTGATTTCAAAGAGTGAGCGGGTCACAAATGAAAAAGAGCAGGGACAAGTACAACTTCAGAAATGGCTCAGGCGAGCTCCCTGAATTAAGATCTGAACTTTGAGAAAGAGCCAGACTAGGAAAAGGGCACTTTCAGACAAACAATGACAAATACGAAGAGTCTAAGACATGAACGAGCACGGTCAGGTGATGGTGAGGACGCAGGCACGTCCTCCCACCGGTTCCGGGGGGCGGGGGGCAGCGGGGCTGCGGCTGGGCAGGAGGAGCAGACAGGCCAGACCGTGGGGGACCTTGTGGACTGTGGTTCAGTATTTGGATTTCATTTGACCTGAGTTAGTCATTAGAAGGTTTAAGTAAAAGAGAGACATGATCTGAATTTTTCAAGCTCACGTTGATGCCATTTACATAAAAGTTTAGGAAAGGGAACTCTGTACTAAAGGAAAGCAGATTAGTGGTGGGCCAGGGCCAGGGTGTGGACAGTGATTGTAAACAGACCAGAGGGGTTTCTGAGGGTGATGAAATGTTCTATCATGACTGTGGCAGTGGTCACACGGGTATACACATTTGTCAAGACTCATCAGAAGACACTCTCAAAATGGGTACGTTTTATGTTTGTACATTTTGACTCCACAAAGCTGGACCCCTTTACATGACAGGGCTAATTCTCTCAGTGCAGGAGAGGATGGAGGACACATTGAGGCAATGATGCATGCCACGGATCCTGCGCAAAACATCATGGTGCTCCAACTTCAAACAGCTGAACTAGGAAGGTGTCCCTAGTGGGAACCGAACCCTGGACTCTCCGGTCCGCAGGCCGACGTTCCAACCGCTGAGCCAAACCAGCCAGGGCGAAGGTGGCCCTGTTTTTAAAAATGCTAATGAATTATGTCTTGCATAGAGCAGGGAGTCAGTAATAACTGTTGCATTGACTTACGCTGTCACTGGCTTTGTGCACTCACTATAACACCTGGCTTTCCTCCATGTGCGTTGCCAGTACTAAGGATAGAAGTGGGGTGCGAGGCTGAACTGCAGACCACATCCCTGATGCACAGTGACAACTGTGGTATACTCTGCAACTAATAAGGTCAAGCCATGGCTGCTGGCATCTTTTTGAGTAGGAGGGTGACTTGCCTACGGCTCAATGGATGAACCTGCAAAGTGACTGTTTAGACTTCACGGGGCACAAGGAAGCCAGCTGAGTGTGAATAACATTCAAGTTTGAATTGTGTGAGGACTGTGAATACTGATACACACACACACACACACACACACACACACACACACACACTCCAAGCCTTTACTAAAACTAAGAGGTCTTTCCTCCAGCTTCACATACTGGTCTCTCTCTTTTGTGAATATAAATCAACTTCTGAATTGTTTTACAGACATTGCCGTTTAATTGTTTTGCAGTTACTCTCTCCCTCCCCACCTTCAGCATTCACTCGGTGTCCCTTCATCCTGCAGGATGGGGCGGGCACCAGACCACTAAGAGAAGTGAGCTGTAACCCTACAATCTTTCCTTTCTTAATCCCGTCTCCTTCAAGAAAACTGCAAACTCCTCTAAGGCAAGATCCATTTCTGATTCCCTCTCTCAGACACCAACATATCATCCAATACAGAAATAAGTTCTTGCTGCTCTACTTATTCTCCAGATGTCAGATGCTTCAGAAAGAGCCATGCTTCAAAGCAGGGGTCAAAAAACATTTTTGTAAAGGGCCAGGTACTACATATCTTAGGCTTGGTGGACCACGAAGTCCCTGTCATGACTACGCAATTCGGCCACTGTAGAGCAAAAGAAGCCAAGGCAATACATAAGTGAGTTAGCATGACTGTTTTCCAATAAAACTTTATTTAAAAAAGCAAGCGGAGGGCCATATTTGCCCCACAGGCCACGGTTTGCCAGCACCACCTATATATATAAAGTGACCTAATGAATGAAACATATCATAAAGGGTACCCGTGAAAGTTTAAACTAGTTGTTCCTACCCTTGTTTGAGGCATATACTCCTCTGAAAACATGAATAAACATCTCCTCTAGAAAATAAAGCTACACAATTCTGCATTCAGTCCATCGATTCCACAGTGGAATCTCCTCCGTGTCCTTTGCTCCATAATAGGTTATTCATAGGAAATTAAAGACGTTTCTCCACACAAGGATGGAAACGGTTATATTCTCCCTTAAACTACGGTGTGAGCTCCTCATCAGAATTTGGGCCACAACTGAGCATCCTTGGACATAAGACACTTCCTGTTTTTCCTCTTCTCTCTCTGGTCCAAAGGCAGCAGGATGACTCCCCCTGGCTGCCTCCATGCCCCCCCCGGCCCCTCTTGTCCAGCACCTCCGCAGGGAGCCTGGCACCGCCTCATCCGCCTGTCTGACACCTCTCCCAGCCTCCCTGTTCGGGCCTTCTGCCTCGAGATGAAGACTCACCAATAGGCAGTGCACAGGGTCGCCTCTTAAGTCCACGTCGGGCGCCTGCAGCAAGTGCCAGTCTCTGCCTTTGTTATACGTGATGAAGGTCTTCACCTGGTTGTCAATCTTCTTGTTAGCCAAGAACATCCCCTTTATGCCTGCTACCTGGGAAAAATCGACATGGCTGAAAAATACATCAATACATCAATACACAAGAAAAGGGATGCATTTGTTTACTTGACAAAAGGAAAGCAGCCCGTCCGATTCAGCACTGGAGGAAAGAGAGGTTGAGGATGATGAAGGGTGGGGATGAGCAAGAACAATCACTCTCTGGACAGTGGGACGGAAAGCAAATGATCTGTGTCCCTATGGCATGGGGCGGGGCGGGGGGCATCCTAATGCAAGTTTGATGGGGAATTTTTATTTCCCTAAGGTAGGCTGGTAGTAGCTTGTTGTTGCCTAGAGATAAACTCTGGTGTTTTCAGTTTTGTTGCTTGGCAAATGATAAATAGAGGCTATTTTTATTTTATGTGAGGCCTAGCACCCACAGTCTCGGGTACTTCATTTCAATCTGGTAACAGTCCTCTTGGGTGAGTATCACTTATTCCATTTTACAGATGAGGAAACTAAGGCTCATCCAGGTTAAGTGACTTGCCCAAGGTCACACAGCCACAGGAAACATTGGACACACAGGATAGTAACTGGCTGGACTGGGATTTCAGCCCACACCTCCCTGTCTTCACAGCCACGCTCTTAACAGCGACCTAAGTCGTGGTGCTACCCAGAACCCTGCGCACTTGAAACAGGTCAGTTAAAACTCATGATCCAATTACTATTGTCTTTGGGTTTTGCTTCCTGTAAAAGATTGCTCTATTCGCCCTGGCCGGTTTGGCTCAGCGGTTAGAGTGTCCGCCTGCAGTCCGGAGAGGCCCGGGTTCGGTTCCCGCTAAGGGCACGTACCTCGGTTGCAGTTTGTCCCCGGCCCTGGTTGGTCGTGCGGGTGGCAGCCACTCGATGTGTCCCTTTCACATCGATGTTTCTCTCTCTCTCTCCCTTCCTCTCTCTCCCTCCCACTCTGTCTGTACAAAAAATGGAAAAATGTCCTCGGATGAGGATTAAAAAAAAAAAAAAAAAAGATTGCTCTATTCTTAAGCCACCAAAACACACTGAACAAAAGAGAACTGCTACTACACTCCACGAAGTAATGATTTCCCTAAACTGTTGAGTAACTCCTCCTCCATTCCCATAACACCACTGTTCCCACGATAAAAAGACCTTATTCATTATTTGGCCCTGAAAATATGACCGCTTTCTCTATTCTATACGTTACCAAAGAGGTACCATTGGTAAGTTGCCTAAACTGTGCTCTAACAAATCATTAATTATGCATTATATTTTCGGCTGTTTTCGAGTCTATTAAACACATTTGTACATATTTTACTCTGCTTGAAATGATGACAACCCAGGACAACCAGAAGGCAGTGAAGGAAGGGTCTGGAATATGTTGAATCATGCATTCCAACTCTATGCATAGGTTATCTCAATGCTCATAGTAAGCACGAGATATCGTCCTCATTACTCACATTTCAAGGATGAGGAAACACTTAGATTAACCAGCTTTCTATAGCACAGCCAGGGAAGAAGTGAATAAGATAGCAGGCATATTTGAGTCTAATTACTTTTACTAAGGCCCTTTATATTATCTTATAATTTTTTTTAGGCAGAAGAGCAAAGCAATAGCATTGGTCCTTGCCACGTACCAAGCACGATGCCCAGTACTGTATATATAAAACCTTCACCATTCACAGCAAACTTGCATGACAGCTATTATACCAATTCTACAGATGAGGAAACTGAAGTGTCAACAAAATGTAATTGCTGAAGATAACGGAGAGTTAGGGAATTGCTGAAGATAACAGAGAGTTAGTAGGGTTCACACCCAAAGTTTCGGATTTCCAATGTTCTCCCAGCAACTACAGCTCGGATTCTGTCTATTCAAGGAGGCTGGGTTTCAATCCATAGATGCAGGGTTTGCCTTTGCTTTCTTTCAACACATTCAAACCTCATAAACCTCATTAGTTCATACCTGCTGACTTGGCATCTGGCATAATTTAGAGTTAGGCCAACTTCATACACTTTTGGAAGACAAGTTTGTTAAGCAAATAAATCGTATAAATGAATTGCTTTGAATGACTTACGGAAACACGCCTCGTTTGGGGCGATGGACACCAGCCAGAGCAGCCTCTGCTCACTGAGATCCTCAGTGTGTGGGAGACACACACTGCAGGAACCCTGACCTCCCAACAACGGCATGCTCATTACAAGTAACACTTCGCTCTTTGCTCACTGCACCAGCTGCAGAAGGACAACTCACCAGGGAAACCCATGTTGATTTTGCAGATGTTCTAGAGGCTGTTACATATTTAAATACAACAACTGTCAGTTCTTTAAAAATTAAATTTCATGAAATGGAATTTTCACAACGTCCTCCTGGTCTTCCCTCCACAGCATCCCGGTATATGAGAAACGCACTGTCCTACCCATCGGACATGCTAGGGGGCGACAGTGGGTGCAGAGGGGCTGAAAGTATTTCCTCTTCCGGTAGTTGCATTGCCCATTCCCCCCTGTGCTCTCCCTCTTGGCTAGGGTGTCAGAGCAGGGTGCTGCGTTTAGCAGCTGCTTCATTTGCTTTGCAGAAGCCCTGACTTTATTGGCCCCCGACTGCTTGGCATGATCACAGCCACTTGAGCCAAGGGCTGTGCTTTGTAATTCATCTCGGGCAGCTTGCTTCCAGGTTCATCTTGAGCAATAAAGACCTGGAGAAGCAGAGGGAATGTGGGACAGGAGGGGTGGGGCTGGAGAGGGTCCGCTTATTACCCTCTTTCCACGGAAGTCCCCTGTGAGGTGTCTTTCTATTCTTTGCTCCTTTGGACTTGTGTGCCGAGAGGTCGCCTCTGCTCCGAGGTGTTTGTGTGCACTCCCCGCTCCTTCTGCTCTGAGCCTGACCAGCCCACCTGTTGGTGCCACCGTGCACCCAATGCATGAGGCACTGTCCCCAAGGGCTCTTTGGTGAGGTCTCATCAGGTATCTCCTGGAACCTCTCCCTCTTACTATAGGACTTAGCTATCAAGGGGCAGTATTAGTGCCCAGATTGCAGAATATGTGTAATTGTGTGCACGTGTGTGTGTCTGTGTGTACATTATGTGCATGTGTGCACTTGTGTGTACATTATATGTTTATGAGTGTATGTAAGGTCTGGGGTTCCACTGAGGAGGGAAGACACGTTTTTTTTGTTTTTGTTTTTGTTTTTATCCTCACGCAAGGACACTTTTGCATTCATCTTCAGATGGAGTAGGTGTGAGGGGGGGGGGATAAAGAGAGAGAGAAACATTGATGTGAGAGAGACACATCGAGTGGCTGCCACCTATACGACCTCAACTGGGGCTGAGGACAAACTGCAACCAAGACATGTGCCCTTAGTGGGAACCAAACCCAGGACTCTGCGGTCTGTGGGCAGGCGCTCTAACTGCTGAGCCAAAGCAGCCGGGGCAGGAAGACCTGCTTTTGTTGTCAGACCACCTCCCTCCTGTCCAAGGTCTGCGCCTGTCTGTGGGGTGGGGCGGGGCTGAGGATGGAGTGGGCTGGGAAGTGATGCTCCGGGTGGGAGACGCCTTCGTGCAGACTCAGAGTCTCCACGCCAGCTGCTCCTGTGGGAATGGCTATTTTACCATGGAGCGTGTCCTCCTGCGGGGTACCTGTTACTTCTCTAAGTGGCCAAATTCTGTGTTGAGAGGCCACGTGTCTTCCTTTGCCTCTCAGGTGGGAACTAGAACCCGGAGTCTCAAAGGTAATTAATAATTATTTCCTTTGCCCAGCTGGTGTGGCTCAGTGGTTGAGCACTGAACCACTAAAATTAAAGAGAGAGGAAGGGAAAGGGAGAGAGAGACAGAGACATCAATGGGAAAGAACATCGACTGGCCACCTCCTGCATGCCCCCCACTGGGGATCAGGCCCACAACCTGGGCATGTGCCCTGACTGGGAATTGAACCAGCGACCTCTTGGTGCACGGGTCCATGCTCAACCCCTGAGCCACACCAACCAGACTCCTGTTACCTCTCACATGATAGTCTTCCACTCCAGCGTACCTTTGGATTGTCATTCAACCCACCACATTCCTTCATTAAAATTAATCACAGAAAAATCACTTTGTCCAGGAAGTCCTGGTTTTGTTTTTAATAGAATAGGTAGCAAGCATTCTATACTAGAAGATATAACAATAGTACCCCACATTTACTGAGCCCTTATGAGGTGTGAGGCATTGATGAAAGGCTTGGTAAGCATGACAACATCAACCTGCCCACGCACTCCAAGTGGTCGAGTCCATGTTACCCTCATGTCAAGAGGAGAAAACCAGAGTTTAACTTTGTTTTTTTACCCTCACCCGAGGACATTTTTCCATTTTTTGTTCAGGTAGAGTTGGAAGGAGAGAGAGGAAGAGAGAGAGAGAGAGAGAAACATCGATGTGAGAGGGACACATTGAGTGGCTGCCACCCGCACGACCAACCAGGGCTGGGGACGAACTGCAACCGAGGTACATGCCCTTAGCAGGAACCGAACCCGGGTCTCTCCAGACCGCAGGCGGACGCTCTAACCGCTGAGCCAAACTGGCCAGGGTGAAAACCAGAGTTCAGACGTGGCCAGTCACTTGCCTAAAGTCATTCTCCAGAGAACCTTAGAACTGTCTACCTCTAGAGCCCACACACTTAACTGTACTATTTCTTTAAAGTCCCCTCTCATCCTAGAGCATTCCGAGGGGACTACCACATGGATGTCACACGCACTGGAAGCTGCCTTTTATCCATACAGTAGAACGTTTACTTCATTGCTGCTCAATACATATTTATGAGCCTCTGCTCTTTATCATGCATTTTTGTAAGTGCTGGGATGTGGCACCCAGGATGTCTAAACAATTATACATTCATGCAAAAGAACTTCTTTGAGCGTTAGACTCTGCCAGGCACTGGGACTCGGGCTTCTTCGGGGTTTTAGAGGAAGAACCCAGCGATCTCCTTGGTGCTGTGATGTTTACCGCTCAGCGCCCTTGCCCGGCCCGATCTCTGCTGCAGGTGAGGTTGGCTGGGAGACCCTCACGCAGGCGTGTTTGCTCATTTCTGCCTTTGGTGCTGACGGGGAGCTGATTCCTCCCACCCGTTCTGACGCAGGAGGAAATGACAAATTCAAAGTGTCCACATTGGAAAGAAATAAAAAAGATGAATCAAAAGTTGTGGTGAGAAAGAGAACATACTCATGACCATGGTTTCTTTGGGCTTTGGGGGTTCTGTGCCAGGGAGAGGATGCCAGCCAGGACGGACGCACACCGCCGGTACCGGGGGTGCCTCTGCAGCCAGGGAACCCGATGCCAACGCGTCTATATGTTCCTTCCTCCCCCGGCGCCTTGATCAGGCAGCACCCCCACCCAGGGAGCTAGCAGCCTTCAGCAGGTAGATGATACCAGCTATGTTCTGTAATAAATATGTCCTGGACGCGAGAGCTTTTTCCTTCCCTGCCCCTGTGCTGGGTCGTAAGAGGCAGCCCCCACTCCCCTAAGAAATCAAGGTATTAGCCATAACTGCTGAGCTTTCTCTGTGAAAGACAGGACACGCAGGATGTGACGATACTACGTGGGTGACGAGACACGCACGGTGTCTTTTATGACACCCACTGTGGCTCCCTCGCGCATGCGCGCATTCTGGGTGCTCTGAGTTTGCTGGCCAGCTGGCTTCAATGCCAACCCAAACCTTTCCACTTGGTCACGCGGACTGTCACTGTCCATCCAGCCAAAGTGCTCTTCATCATCATCAATTCATATCCCCTTCCCGGGGCAGGACGGGTCGCATCCAAAGCTGTCCAAGCCCTGCTCACCACCCACATCAGATGAGCACACCAGGCATCCACGTCGCGGACACCGGGTGGCCTCTCTCTCGTTCTGGCCACCAGTAGGTACACTGTCTTCTGTTAGCCACCTCGCATGGTGCCACTGTGCTCTTCAGGAATGACGGGATTTTCAGACACCTGTTTCTAGGCTTTTTTTTACACAAACACATCACTAGACATAATTGGGAGCCATGTCATGATACTACGAGAATTCGGCTATAACTGCAGGCTCCGGACTTGGCTCCGAAGGCAGTGAACGGGTCCAGAGCAATCACCTGCTCGTTCCGTGTATGTTGGCTTTTCCCCCGTCTAACTGTGTCCACTGTCAGGTAAAGTCTAATCCCAGTTACCCTGCCCTGCCGTGTCCCTCTACCTTGCAGCTATTACTCGGCCACAAGTACAATCCCAGATACTGACCTTCCAGAGACACAAAACAGTCCGTGCTTACGAGTCTGCATACTCGAGGCTTCAGATCCTAAATCTGCCACTTACTAGCTCTGTAATCTAAAAACCTGACAGTATTCCCTCTACTCCCATTTATCTGTGTGTGAAACGGGAGTGATCACATCCCTAAGTCAAAAAGTTAGTGTAGGCGTTGAATCAGGTAGTCACTGGCACAGGATGGCACCCCAAGTCGTAGCTATGGTTATTCTGACCTCTCACTAGCGAAAATCAGTTTCCAGCTCTTGTGCGCTGGTGTGAACTTTCCATGGCTCCCGTTTCTTGATGCTCTGGAATGGGGTCCACATTCAGTGAGCAACCCCTGACGAGGGAAACGTCTGGTGTTTCCATAATGAAGCCACGGACTCTGGCTCCCTGTGCCCGACATTTCCCCTCTCATCACGTACACGCTCGTTCTAGTGCGGAGAGAACTGCACTGGTCGCCAGGGTCCGACGTGTGTGGGAACAGAATGATTGACTTGAATTAGAACCGTGCTTCCTTCTGCATTTCCCATGCAGACTCATCAACAATACATATCCCTGATACACAGGCTCATCATACACCGACACGCCACAGCGCCCCTCTGCCTAACCGGCTTACAGAGCACACACATACGGGACCAGCAGGTGACTGGCAGGCAGACGCACACAAAGACACACACCGACGGTCACCTCGGGCACCCCCAAAAGCGAGCAGACCTGACTCTCTGTCACCCCCCCACTTCCTGTGTTGCTCATCTTATGAAATCATTTACGGATTTTCGTACTTTTCATTTGTCTCTAAGCGCTCGTCATTCATGTCACTTCTACTGGGAAATCCACACGAGGGGGCTCTCGAGCGCTTGCGCCGGCCGCGGGTCGGCCAGCATTCTTCCTCTCCGGGTAACCGGCAGACACGGCTCTGCCATTCTGATCACATCCGTTCCGATGCAAGTTGCTGGGAACTGTCGGGCTAATAAAAGGAACACTCTTCTTCCCAGGCCCCAGGACGCAGGACACCTTTACCTACGGCCGGCACGCCACTGCTCACAGTGATGATGAGAAGAGCCAGCAGATTCCCCAGAGAGAGTCAACCGCTAGGGAGACGTGAGGGGATGCACGAGGAGTTACCAGAGTGGCTGCCCTGGCCAGAGGTCGCCGTGTCCTCCTCTCGTGCTGTACCTGTTAGTGATGTTTACATTCCGAAAAGCACTCAAGGAGAGAGTGGCGAACAACAGGACACTGCAAAGTCATTCCTGTCCAAACCTGTCATCTTTCCTGTCATCCAGGGACCAATTAAAACGGTCTCTCTTTTGGCAGAAAACAAAATTGATCCAGCGAAATGGTTCCAAGTTGACCTGAGAAGAGGGGAGGGGATCCTCAGGAAGGGACAAACGCATTCTGAAAATTGGAACATGTTTTGGGGAGACCCCAGGACAGAGCCACGGTCAGGGAAGCGAACTGGGTGATGAACCTGGAACAGCGGCTTTGCTTTGACTTCCTACCGGCCAGACACCGAACAACACATTTCCGCAGCAAGGGCTGGATCAAGGCACGACAACGCGTGGCGTTTTAACAAAACACCCTTAAAGTTTAAATGTTTATAAGACATTTACAAATGAGGAAAGAAATGTAGCAATTTACACTTGTTTATGAGAAGACAACTCGTTGGTGTTAAAGAATGTCATCTGGCCATGCTAATTGCAATATGGGAAGGAGCAGAGATCCAAAATAGTGGAAATATGTTAGACATCTAAACCATGTGGGCAGATTCTAAGACTAGAACATGGTACAGGGCTTAAACTCACCGGAACACAATATTACATCACCTAGAATTTGTGGAGTATTTTAGGCTCTGTTCCAAGAAGATGGACTTCTTTAATGTGCAGAGAAATCCTGTCAAGTAGGTACTCCGTTTACCTCCGACGTGTTCACCAAGGAAACTGAGGCTCAGAAAATACTGGATGCGTCTCAAGCACACATATACGTGGTAAAGCTAGGATTTAAGCCCAGGCAACCTGAGTCCAAAATGTATACTCTGAATCACGATTTTATCCAACACGGATTTGAAACTAAATCACCAGAATATGTAAATGTTTTCAAGAATACATGTTTAGTTCGAGGCTCAGATATATGATGCTATATTTATCTGGAACATGACCAGGAAAGGAAGTGGAAGAAATTTGTGAATATATTAAAAAGTTTGCAGAGTGTTTTTCTAAATATACACACACACTGTGTCCTAAACTAGTTTACCACAATTTCCATGACAAATCCCTGCGTTCCGGGTCGGGTATAGAGTAGTTTAACGCACCTTTATACATACCGAGAAGTTTAAATATGGGAAGAAAGCCCCTAAAAACCGCTAAAGGAGAAAGAGTATCAATAGCATTAAAAATAAATAAAATGATAGATTTAAATTTCTTCAGTGGAATTGGTTTCTTTCTTTGACACACTGGATACACACTTCGCTTTATATAGCCTCTTCATGGTCAGAATTTATACTCAAGCAAACGAAGGCATCATTATGACTGCAGACATTTGAATCAGTTTTGGAGTATTTTTCAGACAGAATATAGGTGTAGGATTGTACGTCCCACATTCTGAATGTGGCTTTTAATGGGTCATTATAAGCCATTATCTATCTTTCGGAGCACAAGATAAGACTGACAGCTGAAAAAAGATGGACCAAAGGCTGAAACCCACCCCAAAATAGCAGCCTTCCTTCTGCCTAATGGTGCCTACAGTGGAGAGCCACGGTGTTTGCCGTAAAAGCTAGCCAATCCAACATACAGGTTTTCTTTCCAATCTTGGTCATTTCGAGAAACAAAGGGCCAAAGCCCCCTTAGGGGAGACTGGCAAACTCTTATCTTATTCATCGGAGGTCACTCAATGTCCCTCTGAGAGACTGGCAGCGAGCCAGTGGAGGTGGTCCAGTTAGAAAGTCCTGCAAGTCCAAGGGAGCGTCTTCTGATGCAGGCAAGGCGCCCCCTTCATTCTTTCCCTGGACAGATACGGGGGCACCAGCCCCTCTGCCCTACATCCTGGACCCTGCTGGCCCCTCGAGGCTCTTTTCAAACCGCAAACTCACAAACCTTTGCATTACTTACTGCTCCCTCCGATGCTCTCCTGTCCTCTGGGGCTTCCTGGCCTGTGGACCTGATGCCAAAGGATCCCTCCCAGAGCTGTTCTGTGGACTGCAGATGAACCGACACGAACCTTCTGCCGCCCGCTCCCTCTCCCAAACGGGGTGAGGCCCCCAGTCTGCTCATAATTAAAGTGATGGAGGAAACAGCCAGTGCTGGGCCCTCACCAGCCAGTCCAGGCACAGGAGGGGCTCAGGACCACATGCGCCTCGTGACATACCTCATACAGGTCGATCATGACGTTGCCCTCAGGGCCTCGGCTGCTCTGGACATTCTCCAAGGCCAGGGTGAAGTACACGCCCCGGGTGTCTGAGATGTAGAGGTTGTAGGTGTCGTTCTGGTTCCATTCTTGGACCGCTGCAAACACTTGGTTCTCGTCCGTGCTGATGACGTGCATGTCCTGGACGGAGCACAGGAAAGTGAAGAAGAGGAGTTTTATGGGTTAACCCGACCTGCCTCCAAAGAGCTGGGGTCTCAGGAATCCTGCCCTAGGCACTCAGCCAAAGTATCGGAAGACAGAGATTTCCTTTTCACATAGTTGTGAAGTAACACTCAATGAGTGAAGGGTTATTCATATATTTCCTTTCTAACCTACAGGGCTAGGCAATTGATGACGTTTTCAGACACTAGGGCAGAAAGATGCCTGGGGGCTCAGTTATCATTGAACTGCCTTACTAGATCACTGAAGAATACTTTCTCAAATAGGTATGACTTTGGAGAATCAGTTACCCTGATAGATTTGCCAAGCACAGCAGGGTATGTGCTCAGAAGGATTATATGGGGGCATATTCCTTCATAAAAAGCTGCAGAAACAGAAAACTGACCAGCTGCATCCCTCAGGGTGGCCCATGGACCAGTATGGGCAGCACCTGCAAGTGTGTTAGACAAGGAGAGCCTCAAGCCTCACCTATTGAATCAAAATCTGCATTTTAACAAGACCCATGGGTGATTAATAGGCACATTAGCGTTTGGGAAGCAATGCCCACAGGCTCAGCAACACCCAGAAGCCCTTGAGGAATCGTGTTCACCTGAGCACCAAAGCACTAATCTCCATGTTAATGAGTATTCAAGGACTTGGCTGCTTATCTGCACCTTTATTCTGAGTTCATCAGGAGCCCTCAGTAAAAGAGGGAAAAAACAGACCGCATAATTGATGACGTTTTCAGACCCTGGTAGTCGGGAAGAGAGAAAGAAGGCAGTGATAGATGTCCCGGGGGGCGGGGGGGTGTTCACACCCCTCTTCTGCAGTTAAAGCTCCAGAGAGGTGGGTGTTCCCAGCAAAGCTGACAAGACCAGGCTTGCTGTGCCCCTCAGCAGATGCCTGTGCATGGGCTCTCGGCAGGCTTGCCCCCTTTGCCCCAGGTGGTAGACATCGGTATAACTTTCAAAAACCAAAAATCTAAACAAAACAACAAAATTATACATGAGCACAAAGACAGAAGAACACAGAGAAAGATTCTCGGCCTCTGTGTAGCTTAGCACTCAAAATGTCCCAGGTGAACCATCCTCTGCCCTTGAAAAGCTTCAGGGGCTCTGTCCGCCTTCCTTGGCCGAAATTCCAGGACTGCACAATTGCACCTACCTTCTAGCCTGATTTTCTCCTTGTAATAGATGTCCGTGTTCATCGATCAACCAACCAACCAATCAGCAGTGCATCTCAGACTACGCTTTAGACGTGGAAGGAAAGGCTCTCTTTCTTGGCCTGGATCAAAGTGAACTTAGATGATCCCAGAAGGAAGAAGGCTTTATCTAAAGGCTTTTGTGTCCACAGCCTAGAGTTTGGCAACACTTTTATAGAAAGAATCCGGGGTGGCAAGGCCGAAAGGAATCCTGCCAATTGACTCAATGTGTTCCAGTTGTCTGGGTGGTAGAACCCTCAAATAACTACTCCCAGTCCATGTTCCCTCCCTTCCTCATCAGTGGGGAAGGGAACATGGGTTCAAGTTAAAGTATTTCTGCAGTAACTGGCCCCTACAAAACTCATTCCTGTGCCTTTGGGGTAAATACAGGCAATGGTGAACCTCTGAAGTCTGGGTCACAATAGACAGACATCTCATTAACTAATCCTAGGGGCTGGAGTACATCACTGTGCCAGTCGCTGAAACCTTTAGTTTTTGGATGTGGAACTGGAAACATATACACATCGAGTGTTTATGTCACGTAAAGAACTGGCCACATAATAATAGCAGATTCACATGGCCACCTCTAAATAAAGACCAAGATGGGGTGTCTTTCTCTCCATATAATCTAATTACATACATCGAAGACATTTTTTTAAAAATATGTTTTTATTGATTTTAGAGAGAGAAGAAGAGAGAGAGAGAGGGAGGGAGAGAGAGAGAGAGAGAGAGAGAGAGAGAAACACCAATGCCAGAGAGAAACAGTGGTCAATTGCCTCCCGTATGCTCCTGGACTGGGACCAGACCCACAATTTAGGAATATGCCCTGACTGGGAATCAAACTGGCGAACTTTGGGGGCCCAGGATGACATTCAACCAACTGAGGGCCACCAGCCAGGGCCGTGGAACAGGATAGTTTAAAGCGATGTTGGTCTTAAATGCTTTGATTGATAGGTCTGACGTATTTGAATGACATCCTGATTTTTCCTTCTCACCTACACTTGCCTCCTCTACCAGGAAAATGTGCTCTTTCCCCCAAGGGGCACTTCATGGTGAATGCTTTTCCTGAGCCACAGACTTGCAGACCAAGAAGTGATCTTTGAGATCTTCTACTACAGTTTTCCCCAAAATCTGTTCCGTAGGATACCGGCATGGTTCAGTTTTAACAGATGGAACAGAAATCGGTCTTTGGTAAAACGGTTTGATCAATGCTGAATCACTATAGATTTCTTGTTTGCAAGATGTCCTAGAGCCTTCGACATACCAGCTAGTTACTCTTCTCTCTAGTCAAGGAACACAGGAAAGAGTTTATTCCTTTTATTAAATGTATTTGACCCTAGAACCAAATTTTCCTGAAGCATCTCTAAGGACATTTTATTCTGAGTATCACATGGGAGAAAATACTGTTGTGAGTCCAAGCTCCTTATTTTAAACATGCAAGAAAGAAAAACAAACAAAACAAAAAGGAAACAGGGAAAGAGAAACTGGCAAACCAGCCCTGGCTTCGAAGCAGGTTAGTGGCCGGCGTGGGTCTGGGATCCGGGCTCCTGCTGCAAATCAGGCTGCCCTGGCACAACCCACACCCAGGTCACATCCGTCTTCTACCACACTGACAACCAGATCCATACCGGTAACAACACCACCGCGCTTTTATAGAGCGTCTGTCCTCGGAAGTGCTCAAAGCACTTTCATAGGTATTGCATCGCTTAGCCCACTTGAGTAGCTCAGAATGAGCTCCCAGTAAGCTCAGGGAAGGAAACTTGTCACTAGGTCTCCCTGTCTGGCGGGCCTCGTGCTCCTCATGGTGACAGCGATATTAAACTCTGCCCGCCCCCCTCTCTGGTCATCTTCACCATTATATTAAACCTGGGGTGCGTTTTTCAGACACTGCTCCGTGGAACCACGGTCTTTGAAGAGCTGGTACAATGGCAGTGGATGATTAAAGCAAATTTGAGCAAGAAAGTGCTGGTTCGTCTCCATTGCTTTGGCGGGCACACAGCTTTGTGCATTATCAGCCGGCAGCCACGGCTTTGACAGGGGCCAGGAAATAGATGCACCTTCACTACGGATCACTCCCCCAGCAGGGGATACTCTTTGAAGGTGTAATGGAACAGTAATGAGGCATCTCATCGCTTTAAAGAGGACACACCCACTTGGACCGAATAGTACATTCATTTGCTGTAGGGGGACAAGCTAAATTAATCACTGCCTTCTACCCTCAGACCGCAGATGAGGCTGAGGAATGGATCAGGCTCTGTGGAAGAGCAGGGGGAGGAGGCAGACAGCCGGTTCGGGTTTAAAGTCAAACTTGTCCTTCGGGATGGGCTCAGTGCCAAAGGGGGCATCTGTCAACAGGGATCGGTGATGGCTCTGAACATGCAATGCGACCTGTGTGTTTCCTCACCCTCCCCAACAGGTCCAAAGAGGTGTCTTTGATGTTCAACTATCATTTCTGGCGTTCCTGGGTCAATGGGAATATTTTTCTTGGTGCCCCTCAGCTTATCAAAATTTGGGGGGGGGGGGGAGAAATGCTATCTTCTAATAATAGAACCTACTGATTTATCCTCAGGAAGGAAAAGTGTCATATAAAGATGCTAGTTCGGGAATCAGGAGATGTAAGCTCTGGCCTCGGTACTGCTGCAAATAGCATCTGGTTTGGCCGAGACTATTCCACTCGGAAAGTGAACTCCTAAGACTGAGCACGAGAGGAGTGGTTTGAATCTCCTGTTTACTAATTCGGTCTCAAGTCCTAGGTGCTTCTTGAACAGGAGCATCTCGCTGCATTGGGTATCATTTTTCTCTTTAAAGGTGGCAAATCTCGCAGGCCAACTGCTTTATTTGTTGGTCAATTAATGAAAAAGCTATTTATTTCCATGCTCGAGGGAAAGAAACACCAGGACGGTTGGACGAATCGAGGTGGTGTGTTCATCCCTTGTGAACCTTCCTAAGGGTCTGCCCAGGGTAATTTTACATCATTCCGTTTCCCCTTATATCTGACTCTACACACTTCTCCTCTCGGACACAGCCCCCAGAGGGTAACTTCTTGTCTTTTTCATAACCATTTTAAGCCAAATCAAGAGCAAGGAGGATTTAAATGTACACAGGTAGACACACAGAGTTAGTTCTGGGTAATTACCACTGGCATGAATCTCTCGGCCGCTGAAAATAATAACTACTAACATGGATATAGTTCTTTGGAGTTAATAGCACAATTTAACATGTGTTATTATCTCTAATGGGCTGGGGCTTACAGCTCACCTTTCACTATTCTCGGGTTAGGGACAGAGTGGTGGCCACAAGGGGGAACGCAGCCCGGAGAAGGCAGAGCAACTAGCCACCCCCTGCTCGCCTAGAGGAGTCCTGCAGTGCCCTGTGTTACAGCTGTCACCTGATTTCCCGCAGCTTGCTGCCGCTGGGTGCAAATAGTACACGACAAATTATAGGTTAAAAATCCTAGAGTCATAAAAACTCAATCAAAAGACAGTTCTTTATGTACCTTTTTCAAACCCAAAGTTTTCAAAGCTGAGCTATAACTACATTTAAACCTACACAGTCTCCTCACAGCCACACACGTCTCTGCTGCTCTAGGATCAAGGTACGGTGCATGAACGATTGATGGTCACTTGAAATGCAATGGCAGCGAGACCCCAGAGCTGCAGCTTTGAGCGCCCGAGTCAGCTGGACCTCCACTAGGTGGCGCTCTATATTAACGCAGTTCTTCAGTGTTCATGGAAGGAGCCCGAGACTTCAGAAGCTGAGGGTCTCCTAACTTTTGTCCGCCCCTGTTTTCAAAGAAGTATGTCTTTGGGGCGGTCTAGAAAGTTAGCCAGGTCTCAGAACTCTAAAGACAACCTGTTTCACAAGTTGCTTTGAAAGAGAAAGCAAAGGTTGGATACCGTGTAGCTACATCACCGCTTTATAGGAAACAAAAAAATTGGGATGCAAACACATCATATCCGTTGCATTGAGACACTGTGTATCCAAAGCATATTTCTGTCTTGCTAGAACACCAATACATGCTGCTTGAAAATCTCTACCATCAGTTATCAATTTATTCAGATGCTCCTACATAGGAAAAAGCCGAGAGAGAGAGAGAGAGAGAGAGAGAGAGAGAGAGAGAGAGAGAGAGAGAGGAGAGTGATAAGATCGGCCAAAAGTAGTGATGCAAAGCGAACTTGAGGAACAGAGATGCCATGTGGATGAAAACAAGTGCATGACAAGGAGAGACTGAAAGGTGCTTGGGAAACAGGGTGGAGGCTGGAGTATGTGAATCAGAGGAAATACTAAAATGAAGAAACGATTCGGGTCCTACCTTGGGCAAGGCATACTTGGGTAGCTTCATCTGGGCAAACGCATTCCTTCGGTAGGACACGTAGTAATGCGGCCGACCTCCTGACGTCAGCTGCATCGGAAACACACAGCTGTGAGAGGGCGACTGTGACAGTTACATGTCCTAGAACAGCCATCGGTGAAGGGAGGTGGCTGCCGGCGCAGCAGTGTGACAGGTGTGGGGGATTTGGATTCAGTTCCAAACAACTTAAACAGTGAATATGCGTCAGTCAGAGGCCCTGAACCCACTGGACAAAAATACAATTCTTCAATGTGCACTGTGGCTCAGAAGCCAGGAGACGTTTTCAGTTATTGCGGATTTTTAAAGACACAAGGCTCGAAGTAGATTGGATCAATGTCCCTCCGCAGCCCAGCTACCTAGCCCCAAGACCATGGCCACACAGACAGGTCCCAGGCCACATCAGAAGGAAGTGGTCCCGGTCACACAGTGGCTGAGCTGGAGGGTTACATCCCTGGGCACTGGACTCCAGGTTGCTGCGGTGACGATGACTGTGAGCCTGTCCCACGCACAGCGGTGCTGCTGGCATGTTAGATGCAAACTCAAGCCAGGTCCAAAGTCATTCTTGGTCTCTATCTCCCCGAAAAGACTTGTGAGCGACCTCCCCATGGTTTGCCAGCGTGCCCAGGCCAGGGAACCAGTGGGCGTGAGGGAGGGCGAGAAGGGTGTGGTGTCTACACCAGCCTGAGTACCTCAGTGCCAAACCCTTCCCTGTAGCCTCGCTTCTGTCCCCAGCTTCACTGAGATATTATTAACACACACCAGTGATCTTCGACCGGTGCACCCCAAGAATTTAAAACATGCAGCACCTGGCTATTCAGTCAGGGGCACTGACCTCTTTTCCCTTAGATGTCAAATAAACAACAGCCAACACAACAATAGCCGTCTGGTGTGAATGAGTCAAAATTATACTTTTTTTTTTTCAAGATTGCCCCCCCCCAAAAAAAAAAAGTAATATAATTTTTTGCTGTGGTACAGAATTTTAGTGATTAGTTTATGTACGCATGAGCTGAAAAAGGTTGGAAATCGCGTACATATACATACGTAAGACTGAGGTGTACAATGTGATCATTTGATATACATACACAGTACAACATAACTACCACAGATAAGGTCAGCTAACACCTCCATCTCTTCACTTAATTAAGATTATTATACATGTGTGGTGAAACCATTTAAGATCTACTCTCTGAACACCTTCAAGGATATAACACAGTACTATTATGTATAGCCACCATGCTGTATATCAGATGCCCAGAACTTACTCATCTTATAGTTGGAAGTTTGTACCCCTGACCAACAGCTCCCATCTCTCTACCTCCCAGCCCCTGGGATCCATCACTCCTTGTTTTCATGGCTTCCTTGTAGCCACTCTTAACCCATATACGTTTCTGGAGTGTGAATGTCACCTGGAGTTTGCATACTCAGAATGTCAACATATGCTTTGGGTGACTGTTCATCATGCATAAAAACATGACCAAAATTACCATATCTGCCCATATGTGGCCAGATCATCTCTCAGTCCCGGTGCTGAGTTGCAGGGTCATGGGTGGGAAATATCTGAAACTCTAACTGCAGAATTGATTCTTATATTTAAGTCCTATATGTGGATTATAAATGGTTATTAGAGAACAGAAAAAGATTCCCGGAAGCAACACTGATAGAGAAATGACTTAGAGAGAGAACCTTCAATGCCGTGTGCTAATTGATGCTGAAGTTATCAGAGTGCTCATCACTCATGTCCCTGCAGAAAAAGACAGTGTGTGTATGTGTGTGTGCTGTCATTTGGGAACCATTTTTAAAGTCCATAAGCTGATGTTGGGCATTCTGAACATTTGCTTCTTTAAACTATGGGATTAAATATTTTAAATTATGACTTCTTTCTATAAATACAATAGTGTGCCTCAATCTTAGTGAAATCATATGTATTTGTGTGTATGTGTATATATATAGATAGAGACACACATATATAGAGTGTGTGTGTGTGTGTGTGTGTGTGTGTGTGTGTGAGTTAGCAATTATACCTTTGCCATTTTAACATGGAAGGAAATAACTGAATTTTTAAATGCCTTGTCCAAATAAGCCTAAGATGCTCCTTAGATGCTGAAAAGAAGTAAAGCACACTTGCTTCCTATCTCTTCTAAACACTCATGACACCTCCGCTTCTTACACTGTTTCCCCCTCCGGCTTCCCTCTCTCTCAGGAGGTGAAGAACCTGTCTGAATGCATCTCATCTAAATCCTCTTCCTCCCAATCACGGGCATGACAATAAGGGCTGATTACGCACACCTCTCCTCTGCCTCCCGCCCCAGCGACCCCACAGCCTCCCGTGCCCACCTGTGTCTCTATTTTTAAGCTGGATGTGGGGAGGAGGCTGATTGGCTGACCACCCTCCTGATGGGGAGAGACTGACATTTCCGCTCAGTCCCGCTGATGACTGGGGGAGCCTCTGCAGAATGCAGATGAGGGGGCGCAGGCCTGAGCACGCCTCCCTGACCCCGTGTTGATAAGGTCCTCCCGACACTGCCCAGAGGAACTAATTTACATTCCGTTAGTATAGGAGACCTGACACTTGGAGATGTGCCTTCTGTTGAAAAGATAATGCTTTTTGTTCTTTTTCTTTTACTCTGAAAGGAGAGGGAGCAGGCGGGGCTGCCGTGGGGACAGGGACACGTCTGCGAGACAGGCAGCAGAAGAGGGTCTTCCCTACCTGGACAAACACGTAATCGTCCTGCACAATCAGGGAGTCGGGGTCGATGTAGCCGGGGAAGGGTCTGCTCCTGTTGGCCTCAGTGCAGTTCCACACACGGCAGGTCAGGTACTGCGAGTCTGGGAGACAGGGGAGGGCCGTGCACACGGACTTAGAGCCGGAGGGAGAGTTCCTGTGTCCCGTCCATCTCCAAGCCTCTACACAAGCCTCCCGTTCTTCGTTCACCGCATTCTTGTTACCATCATGACTGTGAAAATCATCGCCATTATTTCCCTCGCTTGCCATCGACACCGTCAACCGCCGTCTCCCAGGGCCTCTACCGGCGCCCGCCACCCTGGGACTCGAAATCCTCATTCATTCCTCGTCTCCCTTCTACACCCAATGAAAACATTCTCAAAAACTGGCAATACTGCCTGTGCTTTATGGCATTTTTTTTCTCATGAGGCTTCACCTCCACACTCTGACCTTTGATTAACAAATAGAGAAACAGACACGTGCACGCAATCGTCGATCGTCTCATGTTAGAAGTGCTGCTGTGATCAATAATCAAGTTTACGTCAAGGTCGAGGTTTTTCCTCTACGCCTGTTTGGAAGTGAAACAGAAGGCAGAAGCGATTCCTGAGGCAAAAACGTCGTTCTCATTTTATAGATGAGTGAATTAAGACCGAGATTCCCACCTGAGACTCTGCAAGCAGGTGATAAACATGTAATTATGACCCTTAAATAAACTAGATCTTTGGTGGACGTATATTGTATCAGGGCGGCTGGCCCCGCTTTTCAACCGCAACTGATCTGGCCTCCTGAGCTTTTCAGCAGTCGGTCACTTCCTTATTTAAAACTCCCTTCGCCTCCTTGGAATTAGGACAAGTTCAAACCTCCCAATGCCCACCGACCCGAGCTCCCTCATGCTAATCCCTTCTTCTCCCCCTGTAACTCTTCTAATCTGTCCCAATTTATATTCAGAAAGTTGGCCAAGCTTTCTACCCTTTGAAAGACTTTTCACTTGTATTTCCTCGACTTAAAATACTTCTCCTTGGGTTGTTCCAAAAACCACAGAACTTATATGCATGTATGCATTAACAATGGACATGGACAACAAAGCTGGGGACAGGGCAGGAAGGGGGGAGGGGGAATCAGTGGGGGAAAAAGGAGAAACATCTGTAACAAAAATAAATTAATTAATAAAAAATAAAAGATGGCTCTAGATTTCAGCTGGCTGGTACTTCTGAGGACCTTCTGTTATTACTTTGTATCATTCGCCGCCACTGTTTGGATTCCCTTCATGACATTTAGTGTTTTCCCTTCAAGGTAATGTATCTAAAATTACCTTGTTCATGATTTGTTTCTCGCCACCCCACCGCCCACATTAGAATACATTCTCCGTGAAGAATTCTTCTGTTGTTGTTCCCTGTGGTACCCTAGGTTCTACTGCCATTCCCAGCACAGAGTAGAAAACAAATACATATTCACTGACACACGCCTCTTCATTAGAATGTATCTTTGTGAATGAAAAACAAAGTTATTTTACTGTTTTGGTGCTTAATGAATGGCAAGTTTGATTTTTAACACATCAGCAATGCATGCAGAAATCCTTTCCTTCAAATAAGATAAAATCAATAGATAAGTATATACATAAAATGGGGGTAGGCAATACCATGTAGAGTTGGACAAAAGGATTCTCTAATTTCCCTTAAGGACATGTCCAGGACCACCTTTACTTAAAGACCTGTATCCCTGTAGGATTCACTCATTTCCCATAAGGAAATCCCTCCGTCTTCCCGAGTCTTGCCACCTTCATTCATAATGTGGATGCCAATGTCCACTGCCTCACGTGGGGGAGCTGTACGAATTAACTGAAATAAATCATGTGTGTGCTAAATGTTCTGAAACACACTTCTACTAATGTCAGTTCTCATTGATTGATAAAATTCCTGTTTTCTCCTTTGCTCTCCTGCAAAGTGATTAGATCAGTCTGGGATACACAGTAGGTCTCTAAAAAGATGGGTTTGCCCCGTGTGGCTCAGTGGATTGAGCATTGTCCTGTGGACTGAGAGGTCTCGGTTAGATTCCCAGTCAGGGCACATGCCTGGGTTTTGAGCTCAATCCCCAGTAGGGGGCGTGCAGGAGGCAGCCGAACAATGTTTCTCTCACACATCGATGTTTCCATCTCTGTCTCCTTCTTTCTCTAAAAAAATCAATAAAACAACAACAAACATATTTAAAAAAAAAAAAAAACACAAATAAACAAAGATGGGTTGGGCTGAATTTGGGAACTCCAGCCCAATGTGTCAGTACTGGTGGTGACCTGTCCCAGACCTGTTCCTCCCTGAGCCGTTGCTGGAAAAGTCAAGCCAGATCTGTCGGCTCATCCTTTCTGAATGTGACTCAGAAGTTCCCATAACCCTCTTGGGTCCCCTTCAAGGTCTTCTTACTTTCTGGACACTGATTGGTTTAGGAAAGGGCATTTAAACCCATTTCTAGTAAATAATAAGGAGTGGGTAATAAAATCTTGCTTCTAAAGAGTATATAAGAATTTACAGAAATGCTTACCATAGTCTATATTATAAAAAGTTACCAATTAATAATTTTTTTTTTAATCAACATTCACTTCTTTAAAAATACACCATGGTTGTATAAGATGCTAACATTAGGGGGAGCTGGGTAAAAGCTGTACTATCTTGGTAACTTTTCTGTTTATCTACATTTATTCCAAAATAAAACTTTCTTAAAAGTAGGTTACCAAAATATGTGCATATGGACCCAATTTTTGCCAGGTGTATATATAGTACCTGTGGACGTACGTTCGCACAGAGACATGAATAAAAGATAGGAGACGTCGACAAGAGCACAGAGGGGACGACCTGCCTGCAAGTCTCCGGCCCACACGCACCTGGTATGATTCAGGGGGTCATGGGGGCCTGCGAAATCCATCTCCCAAGAATTACAGAGCCATCTCGAATTCCTGTCTGCCGCCGGACTCCCCATCTCCCCATGCGGAGGGTGAGCTGTGCGATGAGCCTGTCCTGGGCGCACTGTACAAGATGCACAACTGGGCGCCGCCAGGAAAGCCCCGGGAAGGGGTCTGGAAAGCGCCCCTCGCTCGAGAGGCTCGCAGTGGGATGGGGAGCGGGAGGGACGCTCCGGGCGCTGCCCTCGGGAGGGCTCCGGGTGCCCCTTCTCCTGACGCAGCGGAGCGCGGTCAGGCCTCCGCGGCCAGGGGGCGATCTCGCGGCCCTTGGGGCAGCTGTCACCGCATTAAGTATGAGGAACTCTTTCCATATTCAATCCCGGGGAGTGTAGGATGTGATTCCATAGGAAGTATCTTGTAATTTGGCATTAATTAACGTCAATTAATGTATGCATCTGCTAGACTTGAGAATTAATTTCATTCCTTCCCCCGCGCAGATGTTTTCCCTGCCGTAGGTAATTAGGACACGGTGCTGCTCCTTCCAAGCGCTCAGTCTGCAGCAGCTGCGTCTGGGACCATGGGATCCCATCCTCCCAAACCAACCCGGTGATGACCGAGAGGAAGCTGCCTTTAAAAGGCCCGGCTTTGAGCCTGGCCGGTGTGCCTCAGTGGCCGAGCATCGCCCACGCACCAGGAGGTCACCAGTTCGATTCCAGTCAGGGCACATGCCCAGGTTGTGGGCCCAATCCCCAGTGGGGGGCATGCAGGAGGCGGCCAATCAATATTCTCTCTCATCGATGTTTCTAGCTCTCTTTTCCTCTCCCTTCCCTCCTCTCTAAAATCAATAAAGGGGGGGAAATTTTTAAAGGCCCGGCTTTGAGCACTGGAGCAGGGGTGAGAGGCAAGCCTGAAGCCCGCCGGCACGGTAAACCCAAGCCTTCACGGGCCCCCTCTAAACTGATCTGTAAAGTGGGGATCAGGAAGAGCCACCTTGCCCGGGGCTGTGACGACGCTGGACCTGTAGCAGGACACGTGTCCGTCCGGTGTCTGCTGCAGCTCTTGACATTCCCCCTCCTCCATCGATGGCACTGCTGTGTCCCAAGGGAACCAACGGTAACATGTATTACAGACATTTCTACCTTTCTTGATAGTCAGTGTTTGGTTTGGGTTAAAGTTTTTCCAAGTCATGTTTCAAACACCATGAAAAAGATTATCATCAATAGATGGCAAATATTCTGGGCAGGCCATTTGAGGGAGTGGCCAGGGCGGGGCTGGAAGTCACCGTGGGCCCCGAACACAGGGCCCCCTGGCCCACAGCCTTCGCGTCCTGGGAACACTCCCTCCCACTGGAGTGACCTTCCAGGTCCACCTCTGCCTCCCCCGCGCCGCTCTGAGAACGTCACTGACCAGGCTTCAGACTTGTTCTCCAGATAACGAAGGTTTTCAGAGTTTTAGAACTCAAAAAGGAAGTTAAAAATAAGACTATTACTTTAAGACTGAACAGGTCTTCTCCATACGTTACCCAGGACACCTGATTCCTCCCATCCCTGCCCAAACAAAACTCCCTGAAGTCGCTGGCAGGTCTGCGCCTCCAGGGCTTCGCTGTGTCTAAAGAGGTGCTCGCTCCTGGCTGAGACCATCGCAGGGTCCCCTGGTCCGAACTGCCTCTTCCTGTCCGGTTACCCTGCTATCCTGGCCTTGTTCTGTGAAGTTCCTCCTGAGGCTCGGCTAGACCTCTCCCTTCCGGCGTGTCCCCATCGAGAGCATCAGCAACGCATGAACCTCCACATTCACCAGAGTACCTCTCCCGGGGCCGGAGCAGCGCTAAATGGATCACACACTCGTTTTTTGGTAACTTTGCAAAAGAACCGAGAAAGCGTACTGAGCACAGGTGAAGAACTGCAGACGTAGGATGAGATGTGTAGAAGTCTGTAGGTTAGTAAATGACACCGCGAAACTACATCACAGATCTCCAGGGCTCTACCTGGTGAGACTGTCATTCAGTTTAGTTAGCACCAAGTCCTCACTTCCTTATTTATTTCTATTTTTACTTTTTGGTTCATCCTCACCTGAGGATGTTTTTTCCATTGATTTTTTAGAGAGTGGGGGAGGGGGAGGGAGGAAAGAGAGAGGGAGGGCAGAAACACTGATCTGAGATGGACACGTCCATTGGTTGCCTCCAGCACATGCCCTGGCCGACTGGGGGCTGGG